GTCCACTTGGAACGGCCAGCAGAATGGAATCAGCGCGGTGCTGGGTGTGGAGGGCTCACCTGAGGGTTGTTGCCAACAGCATAAAAAAGAGACTTAGAGAGGAAGATGAGGGCTGTGATTCTCCTGCAGAAGCTTGTCCTGCTGGCTTTCCTGGTGTGAACTCAGCTGTTCCCCTCAGAGGAGCTTGGGATCTTGTCGTCGCCGAGGATGGCTGTGGCACTTTTCGGGGAGCTCTGGTCCTTATCTTGAGTGTCGTTTCCTGGCTGCAGTGCAGAACCCTCAGCCTGGCTCCTCCATCCCACTGGCGCAGACTCTGGAGTTCTCACTGACCCTCAAGCCATCCCAGAACAGATTCTTGATACAGACTTGCATGAGACACTGTGGGCTCTGAGTCTTCAGCTGGACTCGTGTGGGACACTGCTGTGGGACCCAGGCTCTCAGCTGGATTCCTTGGGTCTCAGTGGTGGACAGATCTCCCACACTCTTCTGCATTTGACTCTTTGGGTGAATATTAGGAAATAATCCTATGAATTTTGTGCCCTATATTAAATCGATTCTCTTGCAAACCCTGACTACAACAACATCCTCAGGTCAATAGACTCCATGGTAGGGGGATTTCAGTATACAAATCTTCGCAGAGAGCACAATACTTAATCTTCAAAGACGAAACATCTGGACGGAAGACTGAGTTTGCCACTTCAGAAATGACATTTGGACATTGCCACAGTCAGGGGGACTGAGAACCATGTGGCCCCAGCACCTTGGTGTTCCTGGTCGCCCCGTGGCCAGTGGAGCTGTGTATGACAGTGATGATGTCACCAGAGATCGGAGAGAGCCAGGAAGGCCCCCGCTCCATCTAAAGCCGGAAAGGTCACAGACACTGGAAACAGAAAGCGGGTGGAGACACACTGTTCTTTCAGACTGGACTTTATCCGCCAACCTCAGGCGGTGGCAGGAAGGACCACAAGGAAAGCTTTGGGGGGGGGGTTGCAGCCCTGAGCCACCCCATGTGCTGGGCACGGAGCCATGCTGAGCAGAGAGTTGGTAATTGAGAGTGGGTCTCTGCAGAGCTGTGCCAGCCCAGGGGACAGAAGGTGAGGAACAAGAGAACCCCACTCCTGAGGAGTGGCCCTCTGCTGTGCTTGAGTTTAGATCCATGGGGGGAACAGACAGGTCACCTGGAGCAGGGGCGGTGGCCTGAACTCCTGCCCTCAACACCTTCCAGGCTGAGTGTTAGGCAGGGCTTTATTCCACTTTTATTTATTCTTATTTTCATTTTTGTTTTGTGAGACAGGGTCTCGCCATGCAGTTCAGGCTGATCTTGACCTCTCTCTGTACCCAGGCTGGCCTCAAACTCTTGGAAGATGATCCCTTAGGAAGCGAAGAAAAGCCAGCCGGGGAACATCTCGGGGTGACCAGGAAATGAGCACTACCACCTCCCAGTGCAGGACTGGTAGCAACTCCCGGAGTCTCAGACCAGAACGGTGTGGAGCTGCAGGAGAGAGCGTCATGAACAGCGGAGAAGGTGACAACCTAGAAAGCAGGGACCCGGCCAGGCACCCCAGCTTTCAGCATCTGCACACAGGTGCTCCTTGCTGGACTACAGTTGCCCTTGTCCACTTCCCAGATGTGTCTTAGCAGACAGTCCTGGTCCTCATGCACGGTGCCTGCTGCCAAACCAGACCCCACAGCTCGGCCCCTTGCACAATCTGCTGTGCCCACCCCACCCTTGTAGCCTCCTCCTCCAGGGAGTCCTCCTGTCCACAACCCCAACCAATGATGCATGCTGCCTCTGGAACCCATGCATACAGGCCACTTTGTGTCACACTGATTGATTGATTGATTGATTGATTGATTGATTGATTTCGAGACAGAGTGTTGCTATGCAGTCCCAGCTGGCCTCAAACTCTCACCAATCCTCCTGCCTCAGCTTCTCAAATGCTGGGATTATAGGCATGCACCCCGATGCCCAGCTCCATAACACTTCTGACTCCCCCTGCAGCCCACTAATTCCTGTTCCTGTCCAATCCTCTGCCTCTCTCCTTCCCCTGCGTCCCGGCGTGAGTGCTCGGAGATGTCAAGCTGCGTGGCAGCCACTGTGTAGGAGGACAGACAGCTCATCTGGGCTGTGCGGTGAGGCAGCTCAGCCTCTACCACTGCGTCTGCCACAGCCAGGGGCCTGGAGCACTGAACCCACCTGCACAAGCCCCAGCCTGTGGCCTGGACAGGGTCAGTGCCGAGGAGGATCTGGGACGCTGACCGCCGCCTGCTTCTGGTTTCCCAGAGTGCTCTGGCCGTCTTGGTCACCCTGGCAGAAAGGATTTGCAGGGCATAGGTGTGCAGGCTGCTAAGGGTTCCAAGCCAGCCTGGGCTACATTGAGAGACCTGGTCTCAAAAAGTAAAAGAAAAAATAGGCCAGGGCTGTAGCTCAGTGCGTCTGTGCTGGGGCCGGCGCTCTTAAACAGAGACCGTCCCGCATCAGCTGTGAATCCCACAGAGATCGTCCCAGTGGTAAAACAATGATCTTTTCTATTTCTTACCTAGTGATTTGGTGACTATTTTTCTGACTTTATTTCCTTTGGAAGCCGAATATAGTGGCACTGAGCTGTAATCCTACCACCTAGGAGCTGAGGAAAGAGGATCGAAGGTTGGAGACCAGACTGAGCTGTGTGGTAAGACCCTGTCTTGAAAACATAAAAAGTAAAATATATTCCAGATCTGAAGAAATTTTGTCTTGGAAAATAAACACCTTCAGAAAGCCCATGTGGGCCCTGGAGACAAAACTTCAAAAGCAGCCCAGGCTCAGAAGGCGTCAGCTGACCAGAGTCACCTTCTGAGCCACCTCAGCGCATCCAGGTCTCTGTACTCCAGAGGGACAGGCGGGACCTCATTGTACCCTGGGCCATTTGCCCCGGCCCTCACGCCTGGAGGACAACAGGAAGTGGACGGGTCAGGGTCTCCACCACAACAGTGCAGGTAGAAGGAGAAATGGGGTGGTCTCACCCAGAGATGATTCAATCCAATGCAGCAGGGATAGAAACCATCCACACTGTATCTGCAGTGTAGACTAGAAGAGTAAGGAGGGGTGGGTTGTGTGAGACAAGATGTGGACCAGGAAAAAAGTGTGCACATGTACCTCATGTTAAATGAGGCTTCATTTCCACCCCTCAAGGCAGGAGTTGTAATCTTACTGAAGTTGCAGGGCGAAGCCAGGGTCAGCCCCCCATCCAGCCGTGCTTGCTGGGAAACTCGCTGGGAAAGCAGCTTTGGCACATCTAGAATTCAGGATCCTAGCACATTTTTCCCTTCAGAGGCCAGCAGAGATCAAGAATGTGGCTTGTTTTCCTTTGGAATCAGCACCCGGGTGGGGTGGGGGACCCAGAGCTGCAGGGACCAGAGTGAGTCTCCGGTCCTGCTAGGCCACCCGTCTCCGGCCGTGGCTACTGGAGCCCAGACCTTCTCTGTCACTGCTTTAAACTTAGCGACAGGAAAGAGAATCAGGCTGTGAACTTAATCACTCCTGTCTGGACCCTACCTGGGGGGTACATTTTTCTGATTTCATTGACCCTCAAATTTCCTATCACTTTGCTTTGGTGTATTTATAAGTCCAGGGGCCTGAGCTGTAACTCCTCAAGTTCTCTGGTGGAGTCACAGTGATTTTGGGAAAGGACAGGGGTCAACAAGACAATAATCGCAGACTGCTTTTTGGGACCAGGGCCTTCATGCATTTGAACTCAGGTTGTGGAGAACACAGCGTAGCTCGGGTCACCAGCGACCTGCCAGGTCTGCGAGGTGAAGGCTTGGACACTCTGGGGACCCTTGCGATGATTGTTAGGATCGCTGACTCTGAGCGAGACAGTCAGAGAGAGGGCTCTGCCAGGACACATGCAGCCAGGGGAAAGTTAGTCTAGCAAGAAATCTCGGATGGGAAGTAGTTCAAACACTGGGAATCAGGCTGGAGATGCCTTCTCCAATGAGATATTCCCTTAGACTAGCTAATCCCTTTCTAGGTGTCTTCACAACGAGTTGCAGACATCATGCCACAGTGACACATGCTTATAGCAGCACTCCCATGGCAGCTAAATCATGAAAGCAGCCTGTATGTCAGATGAACAGATAAAGACAATGTGGTATTCACGTGGTGGAGTACTACTCTGCCGTAAAGAAGGATAAGTTCAAGTCATGTGGGAGACTGGGTGCACCGTGAGACCCTAATTTCCTAAGTGAGGTACATCAGATCCACACACTTAAAAATAGCATGGTTTCTCCTACTCGAAAAACCCAAAGGATAAACAAAGAGCAAACTAAAAGACAGATAACAGGAATTAGGGAAGTCAGTGTTTTACAAAAGGGCAGGGGACCAGGAGCTGAAGGGAGGGAGAGAAGAGGGGAAAGCAGAGCTCAGGCCCCAAAAGGAACATGACTATTCTGTGCCGCGACCACGTCCTGACAAAAAGATAAAAATTGAAGAAGGTAAAATAAGAGGCTCTTGTTTCTGCACTACAAACAAGCTCCTCTCTGAGCAGGAGCTTAACAGCCGGTGAAGACACAGGCTTCTGTCTGTGACAGATCCGCCCGGGCAGAGCAGGAGTAGCCTGCTAAGTCAATGTTAGTACGTCTTGATCCTTTCCAAGTCAGCTTTCCTGGAATCCCCCACTTCCCCTAGGAATAAAACTCTCACTGCAGACAGCCTTGCTTTGGACAGGAAACGAGGCAGGGGCCGGAGGCGGGGCCAGCGTCTGAGGTGGTGGCTGCGGACATCCCAGGGGAGTGGGGGAACAGCTAGTGTGCGGGAGCCCAGTGCCTGGGAAAGTCCCCGTTCTGCCCTGGGAGTCTTGGGGGGGCAGCAGGAGCCCAGGAGGTCAGAACATTCTGGAAAGATCAGTGCTGTGCTGGGGGGGGGGGGCTTAGTGAATGAATGAAGGAAGCCCTAACTGCTGGCGCAGAGGCCTCACAGCATCACTGAGCCTTCCAGCCTGTCCTGAAAGGAAGCCACGGGACCAGGCAGCCGGGACTAACCGAAGGCTCTCACTCCAGAATGCTGTCCTCCCCTTTTTTTTAGTAAGTGAGGTGCTGGGCACTGAACCCAGGCTTCACACTCAGCTATATTCCAGTCCTTTTCTATTTTGAGAGAGAATCTCACTAAGTTCCCAGGCTCGGCTCCCACTTGTGACTCTCCTGCCTCAGCTTCCCGGAGTGTGGCATCACATGTGTGTTCCACTTGTAAGCCAGGGGCCATTTGAGGCCCTTCACAATCGGGGATCCCCGGGGAACCCTGAAAGCCCAGCAAAAGCCTGAATGCAGCAAGAGGTGAGCTGACACCCCCCTGTGGTGGGCTGCAGGCCCTCTCGTCGCAGGCTGAAGAGCAGAGCCGTGTCCGGCGGTGGACTCAGTGACATGCTAGCCGGCCCCGGGCCTCCTGCAGAGCCCACTCGGGCAGCGGCGCCCACCTGGCCCTTTGTCACCAGCAGCCAGAGACCTCAGAAAATCAGGTTTATTTCCCAACCCAGTCTCAGACCTGGAGCTGCTGAGATTCAGGCAGGAGGTGAAGGCCTTGGGGCAGACAGCCACGTCCACACCTCCTGCCTGCCCTCCAGGCCTGGCTGTGGGGACGCCGAGCCCCTCTGTCCCCTGCTCACCCGGGAGGGCCAGCGCCCACGGGCTACTTCTTGTCTTTCCTTTGCCTTCTTTCCTTCCAACCTTCCCTCATCCCTCCCCTTTCTTCAGCTGTCTCCTCCTTCTCCTTCCTCCTCTTCTCTCTGTGACTCCGTAAGGAATAAACGTCTGTGACTTTTAAAGCACGCTAGTGGAAGAGGCGCGCACACGCCGCCTCTCGGTCCTCCGTCCAGCGGCCACGCCGTGTGCGCATGCGTGAGCCCGCCCAGGCCGAGTGTCCGCGCGGGAGCAGCGTCAGGAAAACGGCCGCAGAGGCAATCGCGATCCACGCTCTTATGAAACAGCACAGAGCACCGTAAGTGGAGTTATGCAGCCAGGGAAGAAGGAAACCCGTAACGGCAGACATAGGTGCGTTGGTTATTTATTATGCCACCTTCAAAGCTTTTGCAAACTTTTCCAAAATCATATATTGTGCTTGTGCAGGAGTCTGTTTTCCTCCACCCCTTTTTAAAATCATGAGGGCCTGGAGGTGTCACCCGGTCATCCTGGGGCCGGAGGACGCAGCTATCAGTCAGCACCAAGTTTGCCTGCACCCTCCCCCACTCCTGCACACCTGTGTGCCCTCAACACACGTGTGCATGGCTGTCGCTCCAACGTTTGCCGCTGAGTGTTTGCATCCGTCGGGAGCGGAGCGAGGCTTCCGGGGCCACAGGGGCTTTGCACCGCTTTCTGTCCCGGGACAGAAATGCATCTGCCACTGGTTTCCTCTTCAGACTTTTCCTCCTCAGGCCCCTGAGAGCTGAGGTCCGAGGGACGCTGGGTGGATGTGATCACTTGGTTAAGTCTGGGGACAGATGACCCAGGGGCGCCACTTCAGGCTCAGAGGAATCTGCCATCCTGTTTTGCCTCTCCGGGGAGCCTGCGGACTGTAAGTATGGCCGTGTCGTCCCCGGCACAGTGCAGACAGCAGGAGCTTGGACGTGTGTCAGTCCCCTGCAGGGGCCTGGGTGGGGTCCCACTACCACACCGCCCTTCCGAATCGCCTTGGCGAATCGTGCAGCTGGGCCCTGGGTACCTGGAGCTTGTCCTGGGGAGGAGAATGACAAGGAAGCAGGTTTGGAAATCACAGCCAAGAAAACACAGTGGGAACCTGGGATTCGATGAGCCGGTAAGACAGGGGCAGAGAGCTGAGGGAACGTGGAGGAAACAGGTGGGAGTCTCCGGGGGCCGGGAGGAGCCGGGCAAGACAGCAGCACCAAGCGCCAGCAAAGTGCCAATGACAAATGGCCGTGTGTGTGTGTGGGGGGGGGGGGGGGGCAAACAGCTGCACCGACTGCAGCCCCCCAAAACTGATGTTCTGATCTCTGTCACTGTGGAGCAGTTGATCGGTTTAGAATTTAAATAAAATCATGCAAATGTATTCTTGTGTTCTGGCTTCTATGTCTGGAGGGTCATTCATAGAATTCGTCCTTTTTTCTTGCTGAGTTGTAGTCCCTGATAAGGATCTAACATGATGTTTATCCTTGTTGCTGGGTCATAGTATGGGGCGGTTATGGTTTGCATCTTGATGTCCCCCCAAAACTTTATGCAATCATAGGTGGGCTTTTTCAGAGATGGCTGGATCTAGAGTGTGTGATTCAATGCTAAGGTTAGAGAAGCTAGGATTAAAGGTGGGTGATTACTAAGTCAGTGCACTGGATTGGCACTGCCCTAATTCCAATACACTGGGTACAGTATAAAGGACCGAAAGAGGCTGTCTTTCCTTGTTGCTTTTGCTACCTTGCAGGTGCTGTGAACTGCTCTCCTCTGCAATTCCCCTCTGCATGTGCCACCCCACTGTGGAGCCAGCCAACTCTGGACTGAAACCTCTACAAACTGTGAGCTAAATAACCTTTCCCTCTTTAACTTTGGGTGTTGGGTATTTTGTCTCAGCAATGAGAAAAGTAACTAAGACAGGTATATGCCAAATACCACTTTATTTACTTACTTATTTACTTATTTTTTGTTGTTTGAGACAAGGTCTCTCTTGCTGATCTTGAACTCACCTGGCTGGCTTGGAATTCATAGAAATCCCCATGCCTCAGCCTCTGGAGTACTGGTATTACAGGCATACCCCACCATGCCTGATCCAAGTATCACTTTTAAATTTTTTATTTTTTATTTTATTGTTTTATCTTTTTGAGAAAGAGTCTCACTATGCAATTCAGGCTCGCCTTGGGCTCACTTTGTAGCCCAGGCTGGTCTTGAATTTGTAACAATTCTCCTGCCTCAGTCTCCCTAGTGCTGGGATTACAGGCACACGCCACCAACACCAGATCCAAATACCATTTTAAACAGACTCCAAAGTTGAGAAAGCCAGAGGTTCTGAAAACCGTGGTCTTCAGTCAAAACAGGGAAGAGTTCCAGGAATTTAGTTTTTAGTCGCTATCACCACTGGCCCTGGACAGCGGAAGCTGCTATTGATGGGCACGAGGCAGACATGGCTGACCAGGCTGCCTGGTGTAACTTGGGAGCAACAAGATCTGTTTCAGCAAAATGGATGTGGGCGTCATTGTGGCCTCCTCAGAAGGCCCCATCGCACCTCTCTGAGGCCCTACTATGCGCTGGGTCCTGCGGGAAATGAATTGGATAAGCCTTCCTGTCCCGCGGTCACGGGACAGGAAGTTTGGTGCGGAGACCGCGCTGTGCAGGGAGGCCGCCTGTGCCGGGCCGCAGGAAAACATGAGCGCGGCCAGGGGGCATCGCCCGCACTGCTGGCGCTTTTGGAGAGCCACTGGGTGGTGTCCAGAGGTTGTCCGAATGGGCTGGGTTATGAAGGGGCCCCGTGTGCTCATGGCTCAGTTGTTTTTATGCATTTGTTTATGTTTCTAATTGTTAGGTTTGGGTGTATTTCCTTGTTATTTTTCTACCCAGAAGTCTGACAACCTCCTTCTCTTCTCTCCCTTCTTCATCTTCCTCCTCCTCCTTTTTCTTCTTCCTCTTTTCTCTATGCAGTCAGACTGACTTCGAGCAAACCACTCCAACTCTCAGAAACACGGACTAGGCTGTATTCTTTCTTGCAGAGGGTTCAGTGTATGCAACCATTACTCTCCCAACTGACCTTGGCGGATGCGTTTAGAGGGAGAGAAAGGTAAGTTTTGACTTATGCAAATTTGGCAGGAATTCACTCAAAATTAATTTTCAAGGCAGAGGAAAGAACAGCAGCCACACTCCTGATTCCCAGAGAGGACTATTACTGCATAAAAACCAGAACTACTTTAAACATCACACCACATACGATTCCCAGCGCACCGTGATCTTTTCAGGACGCCCCCAGCAGGCAGCAGGGGCGTGCGGTCTCTTCTGCGCAGCCGCAGGGGCCTGAGAGGTGGGGCGTGGGAAGGCCCCGCCCCTGTCTGGCTGCCCAGCCCCCTACCGCCCTGCTTCACCAACCCGCTGCTCCAACCAACAGCCCAGAGACCCAGGCGGAGAATGGCACCAGCACAAACAGCGTCGTCTCTCAATTCACAGTGACATCTATGATGGCAGATTTTTTAAACATGTGATCCCCATCTCCAGAGGTCAGCCAGAGGCGGGGCTGGCTGTAGAAGTTGTGGGTTCCCTTCTCCAGAGACAGGAAAGCGCCCCCAGACAGAAAACATTTTCCTTTCCTCAGTGGCCTCTTTCTCAGCGTGCCACGGCGGCTTTTTCTCTGCTATTTTAACGCCATTCCAAGTAAACAGAAATAGGAATTTTTAAATTATTAGCTTGAGCTTTACCATTTATTTTTAAATTCTACAGTCCGCCAGCTTTAGATTACCAACATAAGAACATTTAGTTCCTAGATGAAGTCATTAGAATTGTAGAATTTTTCTTTCTTTTTCTTTCTTTTCCTTTCTGCACAGGATCTTGTTACGTAGTCTACACTGGCCTTAAACTCACAATGGAGCCCAGGCTGGCCTAGAATTTCCCGGGATCTTCCTGCCTCAGCTTCCTGAGTGCTCGGATTACTTGCTCACACCTCGATGCCAGACCAGAATGTTTATTTCAGAGCCTCTCCGTGCAGTTTTTTGTTGTCGTTGTTCTTACCAAGATACAGGCAAGCGTGTTGCAATGGTCAGCATGCGTTTTCTGTCTCTGGTAATGCACCCCCGTTCTAGCCCTGTCCACTGGCTGGGGTAACAGGAAGGACAGGGCGCTGTGCATGGTCCCCGCATGTCCCCCTCAGTCATCCTTTGCAGCACACTTGAGTGATGAATGCAAGAAAGGCCTCAGTGGGCTTCCTGGTTGCCCATTTCCTTGGAATCTACGTTTTCGGTCTATGTTCTTCCACCTGGCTCAGATGCTAAGCATGGCCTCAGGAGGCCGCCAGTGCTCCTGTCCCTCAGCCTGACCACAACATATGTACTGTCCTCCAGGCCAGGGGATGCCCATGTGCCACGGGCCCTGGGACTCTGTCTCCTGCGGTGTGTGAATGGGAAGATACCACGGAACTGCAACTGCTTCCACCTCCTCACCCATCATATCATGGAAGTTCACTTACAAAAAACAGAGGCGCAAGGTGAAACAGTCCAGGATGTGAAGGCGGTGACAGCAGGGTATGGCTCAGCCCAGGTCCCTTCTGAGCAAGGATCCTTGTGCAGGAAGATGCCCTGGTCACGTGTCAGATCCCTGGGCTGAGCTGATACAGACCATCGATGTGAGCTCCAGGGGTAGCCCACCACCACCACAGTAAGGGTTAATCCCGGTGGCAACCGCATCAGGAGACCTCTGCAAGGGCAAGCGGACTTCGAGGGCAGTCAGCCCATTCGTTGCCAACCAGGCTGGGGTTCTTTGGCTCTGCACAGATGGAAATCATGAGTCAGCACAGTGCAGCTCTACCTGCAGTCCCAATGGCACCAGATGGACCAGGTAACGCCAGATGCCATCAGTGGACACAGCCGCCACTGGTCACTGCTGCCAGCCATCACCGTCTGCTGCTGGCTCGTGCTGGACACCACAGTTGACCCTGCAGGGCACTGATCTCCCTTGGCTGCTGGTCTGTGGAGCAACTTGGTGTAAACAGCTCTGAGTGAAGTTTTCTTTTCTTCTTTCTTTTTTTTCCCGGTCTTTATTTTGAAGTAACCATCCCGTCCACACTGCAACCCAGGCTACCTGAGAAATAAATCAGAAGTGGGTTTATGGAACACCAAAGGGAGTCTTGGAGTCTTGGCTTATCAGGGCCATGCAGCAGCCCTGGGGGCAGATCACAGGAAGGAGCTGTCCCAGACTGAAACCCAAGAAGACCTGGGGTGGAAGAGGAGGGTGCTGCTTATGTAGCAGTGGGGGACAGGGTTGAAAGCCCGCTGTGGTGTTGGGTATGCAAATAAGGGGCCCAGGCTCCGCCTTTCCTGATTTGAGCCCCTCCAGGTGCCCTTTCCGTTTTCCCAAAAGGCAACAGCCTCCCCTAAAGTGACAGGAACGGGGAGGGGCACTGCTCTGCTGGGAAGGTTGCTGTCATGTCAGGGTGGAGAGTGGCAGTGTGATAGCTGGGGAGGACACCAAAGCCAAGCGCCTAGGTTCTCTGGGGGTTAGGGGTAGGGCATACTGGCCACCTGCCAAGCCACATCCCCTCCCTCAGACAGCAGGAAGCAGAGTCAGGCTTGTCTCTCTGTCTCACACTCATGAGTGGACAGCTGAATGGACTGTGAAGAAGGTGTCACTTGGAGGAAGTGGTGCTTGGGGTGTGCCCTGGGATTATACCTGGTCCCCAGACCCTTGCTCTCTGGCCCTCCCTCTGCTGTCTTCTTCCTGGCTTTCTGGAAGGGAGGGCCTCATCCACCACACCCTTCCACCAGGCTGTTCCACCTCCCCTCAGACTCACGGCAAAGGACCCAGTGGATCCTGGGCTGAATCCTTGGAAAGTGTCAGCCAAGTAAACCACTTCTGTTTGGGACGTGAGGCATTTGTCCCAGCAATTGGACAGCAGACTAGTAAAGTTGAGCGCCCACCCTGAGCCTCAGGCCTGGGCTGGGGACGCAGGGTGGAGACAGGCAGGGTGGGTCCACTCGGCAGCCCGCAGTGGAAGGAGAAGTCCTGTCAAGGGAGTGCCACACTGACCGACAGGAAAGGGGAAGTCCAGAGTGTCATCCTGCCTGGTGAGGGCCTTCTGCCTCTGAGGAGCAGGAAATGCATCCCTGCAGGTACCCATGCTCCCATGCACTCGATGGAGGACCCTGGGCGTAGCACATGTGGTGGAAAGTGACTTGGCTCCTCCTGGCTGTGTGACTCCCAAGCCTCTGGGACCCACCCCCAGCACGGCAGTGAGACCCCAAGGTGGGGCGTCTGTGCATCTCCATGCCAGCCTGGCTGCCAAGGGGACGAGGACACACGCTCCCCGACCTCATGAAGAAGCCGCCGAATCGGGAAACTTCAGTCTGGGCAGAGTGATTTACAAAGCCCGCTCCCAAGTGGAGTCAATTAAGGTCAGCTTTCTGTGTTGCTAAACAACAGGGGATTCTGGGTTCAGGACGGTTGAAAGGCAGGCCCAGCGCACCCCTTGAAACCGGGCTTTTGAGAGGGTTCAAAGGACTGCGAAACAAAAGCTGCTCTTTGTGATGTGTTCACTCCTCCCGCATTGTCCCCCTGCGCCCTCCGAGGTCCCTCCTGTAAAGAAAGGGGCTGCTAATGTGCCAAGTGGGAGCTGCAAACTTTCTGGGGGCCTCATTACAGCATGGCTGAAATGTGGCCCAAGTGTTTCCCACTCATCAGCATAAATAGCAGAAAAACTCTTCCCCAAACAAAGCAGGTTCCATCTGCCCCCCTGTGTCCTCACCTTGACTTCAAATGGCCAGGCCCTCCCCCAGCACAATGCCAGGGCACAATGCCGGGTCATCCAACACCCCGCTCCAGAGCGGGAGATGCCATCACGCCCTATGTTTATTCATTGCTGGCCTCGCCTCTTAATGGAGTCGCCTGTGCATTGTGGCCACTGGATTCTCTCACAGGCCCCCGAGGGCCAGCATGGGGAGGCCAGCAAGCCAGCCTTGGGGCTCCCGGTCGCCCGCACTTCTCCAGTCGGTCGACCTGGCTAATGAGGTTTGTTCTGCCTTTTCTGGCCCGGGTACGTTTTGTCAGGTGTTGGGCCGTGGGATTAAAGAGTCATTCATCACCCAGGCCAGACGTTGACAAGCGGCTTCCGCAGAGCAGCCAGCTTCCCCCGTGCTGCCTGAGCCCAGCCCAGGCTGCTCTGTGTAACATCACCTGCTGAGGATGGGAACAGGCCCAGGTCTGCAGGTCCTTAAGGAGGCCACATGGCAGCAGGACAGCACCGACAGCTCACAGAGGCCCAGGAGAGGTGGCTGGGTCACAAGGGCCCTGCACAGAGCAAGACGAAGCACCACAGAGCTGCGGTGGCCCAACACCCCCAGTCACCAGCTACCTAGGCCTGGGGTTTGCGAGGAAGGCACTGAGCTCAGCAAAGGAGGGTCTTGCCTAAAGACACATAGGAAGTTGCTGTGAGGTGCCCTTGGCGCTGGGCTATGTCCTCGGCCTTTTTACCTTTTATCTTTTTTTGAGACAGGTCCCACTATATAGTTGAGCCTAACCATGAACCATGACCTCACTGTGTAGCCCAAGCTGGCCTCATACTCGCAGCAGCCCTTCTGCCTCAGCTTCCTGAGTGCCGGGATGAGAGGTGAGCACCACTGTGCTGGCTCTGCCCTTTTATTTAATATTCTATTTTGAGCCCAGATCTGACTAAGTTGCTAAATGGCCCAGCCTGGCCCTGAACTTGTGATTCTCCTGCCTCAGCCTCCCAGAATGCTCGCATTATAGCCCTGTGCCATCCAACCCCAAAACACTGTCTTGCTGTTGAATCCAAGTCTAAGCTTTGTGTTCAGTTTAGTGTAGTTTAGTTTTTCAGGTGCCAGGGAACGAACCCAAGGTCCCACACACCCGTGTACTCCAGCGCTGAGCTACCTGCCAAAGCCCCAGTCCTAGGCGTCTGGGAACCAGTCAGCGTGATCCACAAGGCTGCTCTGTGAGGGAAGAGGAGAAAGGAGAAGAGTCCTTCGCATTTACCAAGTGCAGACTCAGCACCAGGTGGAGTGCTTTGCAGACTGGATTTAACTGAATTCCAAAGACACTCTCATCAGAAGACACAGGAAAGCACTCGGCCACCGTCTCCACTCAGCCAGCACCACTGGCCCTGAGTGGGTATCAGCGACCCTGTTTTTATGAGAAAGAAAACCTAAGCATCTCACTCACTGTGTGTTCCTCCCATCTCCAGACAGGACAAGGAATTTTCCCTGAACTCAGCGGATCTCAACTTCCGTTACCGCTTACGTATATCATAAATTAAAAGCTTAGATCAAGCCGGGCATGGTGGAACCCACCAGGAGGCTGACACAGGAGGATCACTGTGCATTCATGGCCAGCGTAGGCTGCACAGTGAGGGGAAGGCCAGCCTGAAATGCATAGTGAGATCCTGTTTCTGAGTAAATAAACCAATGCATGCTTAACTCAAACAACAGATTGTCTCAGTTTATTACGTCATTTCCTCTTATCTCGCAATTTTCTGGTAAGTTTCTCTCTGCCGCTGTTTGTCTTCGTTTCCTCTTTCATTAACACAGCAAGGCTTTAACTGAGCACCATGAGGCCAAGCGCCTGGATAGTGGGATGAAAAGGTCTCCTGAGACTTTGCAGCCTTGGAGGACACAGACACCTCTGCTGCGGCCAGATCCCAACACAAAAGGCACAACAAATGTAACCACACCCTAAGTATAAACATCAGGGACTGATATTCTAAATAGGTATGGATCCCCTGAGGAAGCCAGGAGTCACCATCCCAACCCCTACAGGAAGAGTCACTGCTCTCTAAGAATGCCCATTTGCTACATGACTCACTTCCCCATTTGTCCCCAGTCTGGTCCATTTTACCTGATTGACCAGGGCTCTGTCCTACCTATGCCCGCCCGCCTTACCAGCTCCCATGTTTTCCCCACTTGGACCCGTCTCACCTCGTGGTTTTGCTCTATAAAAAAGACTCTGTCTTTGCTCCCTAGAAAAGACAGAGTCGTTGGCACCCCACTCGGGACCTCTTTTGTCTCTCTCATCCTCTCAATAAATATATTCCGCTCTTAACCTCTGTTGTTCCTAAAATTCATTCTTCAATTTTAGAGAATATGAACTCGTACCAGGCATCGGGTAGCCTGGGGATTTCATTCCCTGTATCAAGAGGACCTGAGAGGGAAGTCAGCCTGAGCTGGACCCGTTTGGAACCCAGCTTCTGCCCTTCGGATCACACAAATCCAGACAGCATGTGCCACCTTTGGAGCCTTGCCTTGAACATTTATAAAAGAGAAAATAATCTCTTTCTCCTTTGGGGTTGCTTTTATGGTGAATCAGCCAAACCCACGAAACATCCCTGAATCAAAGCTGGTCCTCAAACATGCATCAATAGTGTTCCTTGTTTCTTGAAAGAATAGAAAATACAGTACCTGCCCAGATAATCTAGTCAAATGTGACTCATTATTTTTGTTGTTATTATTTTTTTAAAAATGAAGCCTATGTTGCCCAGGCTGGCCTTGAACTCCTGGACTCAAATGACCTTCCAGCCTCAGCCTCCCAGTGACTGAGACTACATACAATGTCACCATACCCATCGAAAGAGAATGAACCCTTTGCATCCTCAAAACCTAGAGCCAGATTCAGGAAATTTCTTCAGGGATTTAACACAAAGCAGGGCTGATAGAGCCTGACGTGACAGTGAGCGCCTGTAATCCCAGCACTCTGGGAGGCTGAGGCGGGAAGGTTGGAAGTGGGAGCCCAGGTGACTCTGCCTCTCTCCCCAAAACCCTGACACAAGTCCCTCCCTCCTTCTCCCTGATGCTCCCTGTGCCCAGCACCGCAGTGGCCCTGCCATCCACCTTTCTGCTCTCAGCAAGTGCAAAGCCATCTTTCTATCTGTTGCTGAGACCCGAGGCTGTTTTAAAAAACAAAAAAGTTAACGTTTCCATAGCAAACAAAACTCTGACTTAGGGTTAGGAAAGGACTCCTCAGAAGCTGATTTCCCAGACTTCTATCGGGGTGGGAATGAGCTCCCCAGAGGGGAAAGGTTTTTTTTTAAAATTAATATAAATGCTGTTACTTGTATTTTTGGAGAGTCATCCTTCAGAAGTTGCTGTGCAAGAAATAGACACCCCAGGGAAGCC